CAAGAACGCCCTACTTCAGAATTTGATTCAAAAACGCCCTATTTCAGAATTTTTTTGAAGAACACCCTATCTCAGAATTCGGTTCAAAAACGCCCTATCTCAAACGAAAATACATTGAAAATAAGCTGGGATAGGGCGTTTTTGAATCGGCAGCTGAAATAGGGCGTTCTTCAACCAAATTCTGAGATAGGGCGTTATTGAAAAGTTTTCCGAGATAGAGCGTTGTTGAATAGATAAAGATAGGTCGATCTTCCACTCAGCCATCGATATGCTCCATTGCCGTCTTAAATAACCTGACGAAAGCGTTATACCGGGAAGAAGTCATTACGGCTCGATGGTGAATCGTCCTTTAATCTGTATAGTATAGTTGGTGGCAATTTCCAAACTGGTGAGTATCATTGGTCCACATTCTGTTTAGTCACCGTAAAGCAAGGACCGCCATGGTTCTGATGGTCTGGTGCCTCCGAATTTACAATTTTTAGCAATAACTCGGCGCAAGTGCCACCTTCGCATCTTTTTTTTTGCAATAGTATTGCCCCTATCGTTACCAATACATATATATCTCGAATATGAGTCAAATCGGATCACAAATACGATTTTGAGTAATAACTTGACTCCAGCGCCACCTGGCGTAAGTTTTGAACCTAAACTATACATCAGAGGTTCCCAAACTTGTTTTTCTCGTAGACCCCTTTCAAAACTTTACTGGTTCGGTAGACCCCCTGATGCTCATTTCTAATATATTCCCAAAGCTCATCAAAAAATGTGAAGATTAAATCTATCGATGTAATTTTGCATCGCAGGTGAGTTCCAAAACTAAATTCGGAGTGGAAAAAATAAAAATAAAATATCTTCTTGTGTTCTATTTATTAAAATAATATGACAACACACTTGCAAGTTTTAAAAAACAGAGCTCGTAAAGCCATGAAAGAACTATCTCGCTCTGAGGGGTTATAGTTTTTATTTTTATCGCTCCGAGTTTTAAAGTGATGCGAAAAATATTCGTCACTCGCATTTTTAAAACACAAAACTTGAAACAACAAAACTGCAAAGCTTTTTACGCCAAACTTCAAATTCAGAAACTGACAAAAAATAAAAGACCGAATCTAGATAAATCGATGATAGAAAAACAAGCAAGCAGGAAGTGTTCCACCGCTCATCCTCTTCAAAGCAGGATGAGCAAATGGATTTGTCATTTACGCCTATCACAGTCAGGTGTTTGCTCCACGTGTGAACCAGTCAGCAGTCCCGTTTTCTCAGTGAGCGGAAAAAACCAGAGTTTTGCCCACCTGCATCTACTCGATGGCTCCCAGTCATTACTGAGCGAAGTATCCACCCAGTTTCTGATGGTGGCTTCAATGGTCGAAGTGGGGAGTGTTATAACTGGTTGCGGATCGAGGAATGCCAGGTCTAAGCCAACTGTGGCCAAAGGGTCAGACGTCTCATTTCCAGGCACTCCCGAGTTGCCTGGCACCCAGATTAAAGCAAGCTCGTTATCTTTACCAACATAATTTATTCGAGACTTGCATTGCCGAACTAGTTTGGAAGTACTTAAAGGGCTGGCCAATGCCTTATGTAGACACGTAAACTCCTTTCCCTCCACCTATTTTCCACCAAGTAGTCTATGGCTTTGGGGACAGAAAATACCTCAGCCTGGAAGACCGAAGCATATTCCCGAAGCAAAAAAGTGAAGCTTATCCCCATTAACTTCGAAAAATACTCCAGATCCTGACCCTGAGTCAGTTTTGGAGTCATCAGTGAAGATTCGACAATGTACGAGTGCCGGCTCAGTGCTGGAATTAAACCAGCATTCCCCCTCAGGGTAGTCTCTCTCTCTAGAATCTCTTCAACAAAGGTAATGGTGGCGTACTATCCTGTAGCATTAAAAAGACACAAGTGCTCAAATATCTGCCGCCGACAACTTCCGCATCGCTCAGCACTCAGTGTTATACCAACATCCGTTTCTTCTTAGTCTGCAGGTGGCCTTTAGGGCTTCCTTCCCCTATCAAGATACCATTTTGGTTCTTTACTTTCGAAACCAGATGAAGTTTCGTGGACCCCAACTTACAACTCGTGGACCCCTATACTTTTTCACGCCAACGTAGACCCTTGTCGAGACCACTTTGGGAATCACTGCTATACATGGACCTACTAAAATACATAAAAAATATCATTAAACCAGTTTGGGTCGTTTAGGAGGAGATCACCGACCAGAATAAGTCTTTTACATACTGACACTCTTCGACATTTTTTCCCATACAAAAAAAAAACTATCACGCATTCGTTATACGGAGAAAAGGCGCACATCCTCACCGAAAATTTTCTCAAAAATCAACGGTAACTTATAGCCATTTAAAACTTGCACTTTATAATACTGAAATTGAGTCAGCTACAAAACTGCGTACTCAAAATTTGGTGTCCTTTGATGTAAAAATTAACAAAAAAATTTATTATGAAAAAGAAAAAAAAAAAACACTGTATTCTGGGTGTATGTATTTACAGATAGGTAAAGGTTTCAATATGTTTTGAAAGCGCCACGCCCCCTTTTCCAGTAGCCCCGAAATCTCTATACTGATTTCCAGGACACTACCGCAAATACTTCCAGAGATAAACGGTATGAAAAATTCTTTATGTATGGGTGATGCCACGCTCCCTTAATATATCTAAAGTCTGCAGTAGGTGTCCAAAATTTAAAAAAAAATCGGTACAGCTGTTCGCGAGATCAGCTCTTATAAAAAGAAGGAGCTTCTCTTTATATAATTAGTGTAGGTAACGCAGGGCAACACCGATTTTGATGCGGCAAATGTTAAAGCTATTTTTGATAAAATTTTTTGTGCTGATGACGGATCCGTAAGTATAAAATTTCCTTCCGCTCCAGATTTTGAAAAAACAAACGTGGTAAAAGTGTCGAAAAATTGCGTTTTTTTTGCAAAATTCGAGAAGCTCTAGCAAGGAAAAAAGGTGATAGAACCTTCCTTCTTATTCTTTTTAATTGGAACTGTAACCGCCTAAGCGAATTTGGCCGAGTTCAACAAAGCACGCCAGTCGTTTCTCTTCTGTACCAATTGCAAATGCCAAGTGAAGCCAAGAACCTTCCACTTAGGCTTAAATTAAAGCTAGAAATACAGACTACTATCCCTGAAAATACTACTCTTGCACCTTGCCCTGATGGTCACAATAATAAAAAATACTGGAACATTATGCAATTAAAAAAAATAATAATATTGTGTAAAAATCAGCGTTAGCTGTTCAATAAATGAATATAGGTGACCTTAGGGTCAAGGTGCAGGAATGGTATTTTCAGGAATTGAAGGCAGAAGTCCAAGCCTTAATTTGAGCCTAAGGGAAGGTTGTATCACCTTTTTCTTAATTGCGAAAGGCACTCAAACTTCCCAAAATCAGTTTTTCCCTGTTCATCAAATGACTGTAAGTGGCCATCAAGCAAATGTGCAGGAATTTTCATTGATGGTATTTGAGATTTTTAGCTTTAATCTAGGCCTAAGTGGAAGGTTCTATCACAATTGTTTCTTTGCAAAACAAGCGATTTTTTGACAATTTGTCCCAATTTTTCTTAAAATCTGGGGCTGATGGAAACTCTATTCGTAATCAGCACAAAAAGTCTGTCAAAAATAGCGTTAACCTTTGCTGCATCATATTTTTATGTTTTTCTTGGCCTGTGTAATAAGTACTGTTAAATAGCCAATACCCGCATGTTTTCGGCGCCTTCAAACACCCTTCGAACTGTAAAACAATGACTCAATTCTATTCTACGCATATCTATAATGTGGGTATCGAATTTCAAGCAAATCGGACCATAAATAGGATTTTTTGGAATTAGTCGGTTCCTGGTCCACCTATCAAAAGAAAGTATCATATATGTTAATCCTGGAAATAAGCTACCTACGTGCCGAATTTCAAGCAAATCGGACCATAACTAAGATTTTTGCGAATAGATTGGTCCCTGGTCCACCTTTCAGAAAAAAGTATCCTATATGTTAATCTAGGCAATAAGCTACCTACCTACGTGCCGAATTTCAAGCAAGTGGCACCATAAATAAAATTTTTTTCGAATAGATCGACCCCACTTAACGGAAAAAATTGATCCTATATGCTAATCTAGGCAAAAGGCTACCTACGCACTAAATGCAATTTTTTAGATTTTATGCGCTCCTCCTTCTAAAAACCTTTCCAAAAACGCAGCAACCATTCTGTTTTGAGCGATGATTCTTAAATAAATCGGACGAGTTCTTATTCATTAAAAATTCAATTAGAGTTTTATTTTAAATTTAAAGATTTTACCAACTTGTACATGAAAAAAACCACTCGTTCTCAACAAAGGTAATACTAAGTGACAATTGGCGAAAAGTATATAAAGAGAGAATAGCAAAAAAAGGAAATCTTATCGTTAAGTTTACAGTGCTGCCAAATAATACAATTTAGTATTTTTCTATTATAAATTTAAGTTGACGAATTTAATTTGTTAAGAGCATTTGTATTTGATAAAATGCGATTTTGGGAGAGCGTTAAGATCTCCTTTGAAAAATAAGCCTGTTGAGTTAGCTTCACCCAATAAAGTCGAGCCGTTTCGCGTTGCGTTTAATCGCACGTTGGCATAGCGCTGTGATTCTCAGTAATTTAGTAAGATTTGAGTAAAGTTCAACGAGGTTCCAGATCTTCGGGTTTTGAGGAGAGACAAGAGCAATGACCTGAAGTTTTTCTTCAAGGTCGACATCATGCTCACGCTGGTAACCGCATGACGGCCATAAAGAAGGATGTTGAGAAAGCCATTTTGTTCCAGTCCACCATAGACAGTCTTTTTCTAGCTGATCAAGTGACACACCTCGAGAAGCGCACTCTGCAGGATTCTCCTTACCAGAGATGTTATGCCATGTTGCTTGAGGCAGAGTTTCTTGGATAGTGACAACACGATTTCGAACATAATCTTTCCACCGTGATGGATGAGCTTGAATCCAAGCGAGAGTTACTGACGAATCAGTCCATCAGGGTGCTTGCGATATATTTAGCACTTCTCCAACGTGAGCCACTTGTTTTGTAAGTAGAGTTGCAGCGCAAAGTTCAAGCCAAGGAATCGTCATTTTCTTGATTGGGGCAACTTTTGTTTTTGCTGTAATGAGAGAAATTGTAGCATCATTCGTTTTGTTAAGTACACGAAGATAAACAACAGCTGCCATAGCGTCTCGAGAGGCATCGGAAAAGCCATGTATTTCCAAAGTAAGCATGTTTGCAGAGGTTCCGTTCCAACGAGGAATGGAGATGTGAGAGATATCTTGAAGTTGATTTAAGAACTGATTCCAGCGTTGGGAGAGCGACTCGGGAAGTTGATCATCCCAGTAGAGTTTTGTAAGCCAAAGTTCTTGCATGAAAATTTTGGCGCGCACTGTAATGAGTGCCAACCATCCTACTGGGTCGAAAACCTGCGCAATGCGTGAGAGTACTTTTCTTTTAGTCGGCGTTGTATCGTTTTCGGTATTTATTGCCAAAAACACAAAGGCATCAGAGACAGGATTCCATATAATTCCTAACGTTCTAAATAGGGGACTCCCATCGAGGAATATTGATGTTGAAGAGGCATGACGCATGATTGAGAGATCAGCCAAGATCGTTGAATCATTCGCTGTCCATTTAAGTAGGTCGAAACCACCTGATTTGCAAAGGTTGTCTAGCTGTTGAATCACCTCATTTGCATCTTGAGGGGAATCCGCTCCGCCAAAGCAATCATCCACGTAAGTCCCACGTAGTAAAACATCTGTTGCGAGGGGAAAGCGATGTCCTTCATCTTTGGTTAATTGCTTCATTACGCGATTTGCTAAGAAAGGCGCTGGACCAAGTCCGTAAGTAACAGTGGCCAACTGATATATTAAAGTCTTCTGAGATGATTCTGGTGACCAAAGAATTCTCTGAAAACGCAGATCATCTGGATGAACCAAAATCTGCCGAAACATCTTCTCCATGTCGGCTGAAAAGACGTACGAAAATTGTCGCCACCACAAAATCACATCGGATAAGTCTGTCTGCAGCTTGGCACCGATGTGAAGATCTCCTTCATTCAGAGAACAGCCACTACTTGTGCGACATGAGCCATTAAAAACAACTCGCAGCTTAGTAGAACTGCTAGATTCTTTAAGAACGCCGTGATGTGGCAAGTAGTAAAACTGTTGTGGTTCAGGGATGCTTTCTGGTACGCGTGTCATATGACCCAGCGACTCATATTCCCTTAAAAAGTCAGAATATAGACATTTTAATTTGTGATCACATGAGAAGCGTCTTATCATGCTAGACAGCATTCGAGAGGCAGCAGGTCGAGAATCTCCTATGGCCTTCGGTGACTTCTGGAAGGGAAGACGAACTACATATCTCTTCGATGAGTTTCTTGAGTGGCTGTTACAAAAATGATCTTCACACTTTTGTTCTTCTATAGAAAAGATTGTTTGTGCGGATAGTTGCGCTTCTTCTTGAACCCAAAATCGTTGAAGCGCAGCGTGTAAGTCATGATCAATCGAACATTGATAGCTTTGAATGGCTTGAGTCATCTTTCTATATTCGCTAAGAGGAGAGACTGGACCTGATATTATCCAGCCAAGTGCAGTACGCCTGGCAAATGGAGAATTTGAGTTTCCTTTAACAAGTTCAGGTTCAATTAAATCAGAATACAGATCTATGCCAATGATAAGATCGATTTGACCAGTCTTCAAATAGTAAGGATCAGCTAGCGTAAGTCCGCGCAAATGCGACCTACCTTTGTGCTCGAATTTTAACGATGGTATTTCAGCCGTAGGCTTTGGTAAAATGTACCATGGGACGTTCCATTTTAAACTTGAGTTAAAATGCGGCTTTAGGGAAAAGCTTACTATACCTTTAGTTGTACTTGATGAGTGTGCACCAACTCCATAGAGGGGAATACTTGCCTTTTGACGTTTAAGCTAAAGATTTTGTGTAGCCGCTTCACTGATAATTGTAATCTGTGAGCCGGGTGCAATTAGAGCACGATCTTGCAGCTGCTTACCTTGTGGAGAAAACAGCATAACGAGCGTTGTTGCCAACAGAGTTCGCACCACTTTGACGGATGGACGTGGTATGGCTTGATTTAAGATGAACTGTAGTTTTTCAACACTATCAGCTGGAGCTGGTCTTGATGCAGAAGACGTCAGCTGTTTAGAGCTGGAACTCGCACTATGAATTGATGTGTGATGTTGCGCGCCGCCTATTTGACAACGCTTAGTTGACCGACATGTAGCTAGGCGATGAGGACCGAGACACTTGAAACATAATCTTTTTTCAACTAGAAGTTCCTTACATTGATTTTCATCTAGACTGCGATACGTTGAACAAGTAGAGATGTAGTGAGAGTTGTTACACATGGAACAGTTGTTCGAGAAAGTAGCACGATTACTACTTTGTACTACGATTACTACTTTCGCGCCACTGGTTTTTCTATTATGGATTGAGAGAGGGCATGCTGACGATGACGGATTTCTAGATTCGACGCTTTCTAGTGCGCGTATTCTTCCTTCTAAGAATGTATCCAATTGAGTAAGTGAAGCAGGCGTCACCTTTGCATCACGATGTATTTCCCAAGCTTCGTGCGAGTCTGCATCTAGTCGATGTACTATCATGTAGACAATAATAAAATCCCAGTGATCGGTAGGAGCACCAAGTGAGTTCAAGGCGCCCAGAGATTCTTTGAATACTGCTAAAAGATTCTTAAGCTCACCTGAAGATTTAGATTTCGATTTTTAATAGGTTGTAATTTAAAAATGATATCGGGTTGAGTTTCAATAAGCAACCTCTTATTTCCATATCTTGCAACTAATATATCCCATCGCGCGCAAAATTTTCATTTGAAATTGCAAGGTTAGCTACAAGCTGTACAGCTTCACCTTTGAGGCTTGTTTTTAGATAATGAAATTTTTCTACTGTTGTTAAATCAGAGCTACTGCCAATTATTGACGTAAAAAGATCGTGAAAATTGCGCCAACGTGAATATTCCCCATTAAAGATAGGCAATTGAGTTTTCGGAAGCGATCTTGTATGATGAACATAACTTTGCCCCAGGTTCATGGACTGATCGGCAAGTTCAATTCCAGAAGATGGTTGTGAGTGAATAATTTGATCGAGTAATGTCAGCATAGTCGATCGAGCATCAGCATAGGTTTACTGGCATTGAGAATACAAATTATTTGCAAAATATGGAGCTTCTTTGATAGCAGCGGTTAGTCTGGTATTAGTTAAACGTTCATGACCTTCCNACCAGTCTTCAAATAGTAAGGATCAGCTAGCGTAAGTCCGCGCAAATGCGACCTACCTTTGTGCTCGAATTTTAACGATGGTATTTCAGCCGTAGGCTTTGGTAAAATGTACCATGGGACGTTCCATTTTAAACTTGAGTTAAAATGCGGCTTTAGGGAAAAGCTTACTATACCTTTAGTTGTACTTGATGAGTGTGCACCAACTCCATAGAGGGGAATACTTGCCTTTTGACGTTTAAGCTAAAGATTTTGTGTAGCCGCTTCACTGATAATTGTAATCTGTGAGCCGGGTGCAATTAGAGCACGATCTTGCAGCTGCTTACCTTGTGGAGAAAACAGCATAACGAGCGTTGTTGCCAACAGAGTTCGCACCACTTTGACGGATGGACGTGGTATGGCTTGATTTAAGATGAACTGTAGTTTTTCAACACTATCAGCTGGAGCTGGTCTTGATGCAGAAGACGTCAGCTGTTTAGAGCTGGAACTCGCACTATGAATTGATGTGTGATGTTGCGCGCCGCCTATTTGACAACGCTTAGTTGACCGACATGTAGCTAGGCGATGAGGACCGAGACACTTGAAACATAATCTTTTTTCAACTAGAAGTTCCTTACATTGATTTTCATCTAGACTGCGATACGTTGAACAAGTAGAGATGTAGTGAGAGTTGTTACACATGGAACAGTTGTTCGAGAAAGTAGCACGATTACTACTTTGTACTACGATTACTACTTTCGCGCCACTGGTTTTTCTATTATGGATTGAGAGAGGGCATGCTGACGATGACGGATTTCTAGATTCGACGCTTTCTAGTGCGCGTATTCTTCCTTCTAAGAATGTATCCAATTGAGTAAGTGAAGCAGGCGTCACCTTTGCATCACGATGTATTTCCCAAGCTTCGTGCGAGTCTGCATCTAGTCGATGTACTATCATGTAGACAATAATAAAATCCCAGTGATCGGTAGGAGCACCAAGTGAGTTCAAGGCGCCCAGAGATTCTTTGAATACTGCTAAAAGATTCTTAAGCTCACCTGAAGATTTAGATTTCGATTTTTAATAGGTTGTAATTTAAAAATGATATCGGGTTGAGTTTCAATAAGCAACCTCTTATTTCCATATCTTGCAACTAATATATCCCATCGCGCGCAAAATTTTCATTTGAAATTGCAAGGTTAGCTACAAGCTGTACAGCTTCACCTTTGAGGCTTGTTTTTAGATACTGAAATTTTTCTACTGTTGTTAAATCAGAGCTACTGCCAATTATTGACGTAAAAAGATCGTGAAAATTGCGCCAACGTGAATATTCCCCATTAAAGATAGGCAATTGAGTTTTCGGAAGCGATCTTGTATGATGAACATAACTTTGCCCCAGGTTCATGGACTGATCGGCAAGTTCAATTCCAGAAGATGGTTGTGAGTGAATAATTTGATCGAGTAATGTCAGCATAGTCGATCGAGCATCAGCATAGGTTTACTGGCATTGAGAATACAAATTATTTGCAAAATATGGAGCTTCTTTGATAGCAGCGGTTAGTCTGGTATTAGTTAAACGTTCATGACCTTCCTGAAATTTCTTCCAATTTGCATCCAGGATGGACATTCGAGTTTGTATCTGAGCACGTGTAATTTTTCCATCACCAGGAGATCGAAGTTTTTCAATGGCACTGTTAATGAGCTCATGAAGGTCATTTTGCTTGTCTATTAACGCTTCTTGATTTGCTGATATGATAAGGTCAAGAGAAAGTCACAAAAATCACACAAGAGTCAAATGAAGGTCGGCACTCTTTGTTTTTTTTAATGTTTCACACGGCCGATCCGGTGCGAAGAACCAGTATGTTTTGAGCGATGATTCTTAAATAAATCGGACGAGTTATTTTTCATTAAAAATTCAATTAGAGTTTTATTTTAAACTTAAAGATTTTACCGACTTGTACATGAGAGGAAAAAAACCACTTGTTCTCAACAAAGGTAATACAAAGTGACAATTGGCGAAAAGTATATAAAGAGGGAATAGAAAAAAAAGGAAATGTTATCGTTAACTTTACAGTGTTGCCAAATAATACAATTTAGTATTTTTCAATTATAAATTTAAGTTGACGAACTTACATCAAGAAATTATTAGTAAATTAAAGTGTTGTATTTTTGCAATATGATTTTTTGTGTAAACACATTCGAATCGGTTATGAAACATAGGTGAAAATTGTTCCCAATTAATTCATGCTCACAATGCATTTTCAAAGTTTCACAACGAATTTTCCACCTTTACGTTGTCCAAAATCATCAAATCATGCGTTAAAATTCAAAATTTCGTCGAAAAAATTAAAATTTTTCGCGCTCTTCCGAATTTTTCCGAGTTTTCCACTTAGCATTTTCAATTTTTCCATTCGAAAGCCATTCCGAAGGAATTGCACACAAAATTCCATACAAAAAAAAATCAATTATTTATTTTTCTAAATTTTACAACTTTCCCGGAGGGGTTTCCCAAGATTTTCTTTCGTAAGAACCTTCTCCTGGCAATTACGAACAACTAAAAAAAATTTTAGCCAAATCAGCCCAACCGTTCTCAATTGATGAATTACTATACATTTTTCACACCATTTTTATATATACACTAGCTATATCCTGCCACGCTTTGCTGTGGCATTCCTGTTACATGGATGATAAATTATTAACGAAACAAAGCATACGTTTCATATGAGTTTGATTTTGTAATAAGTACTTGTGTGCGCACAATATTTGTCGTGTTTCCATTCTCTGCATTGATATCAAGGATATCTGGTTTGCCGACACGGGAACACGCAACATCTAAGAACCAATCCGCATCTCACTCTAAACCACACTTTTCCAAAGGATAATCTTGAGCATTAGTGATTGTGATTCCGAATGTCAATCGAATTGGGAATTGCAATCTTTAAAATTGAAATGGTGTATCGGTCGGAATCATGGGAATTCTTCACTACGTTCTTCCTCAATTTCTTAACTGCGAGTCCCGTACCGTTGCGGAGTTTTAGCTGATTAATATTCCGCAACGTGATAACTGGCACACCTATTTGCAATTCAGTATGTGGGGTCATCCCTGGAAGATCAACCGAGTTCAAAAATTCCGTTGGATAATTAACTGATTCGTCTTCTTCCACAACGGTGTTTATCGACGCATATGTTATTGTTTAAGCGACTTATGCATTTCCCGCTTAAACAAAGAACAGCGAACACACAGATGTACTTGTTTTTAAAGGTACTTCGCTCGTGTTTAATTGGGTATGCATTTGTTATGCAATTCTCAA